CCGCCGTCAACTTTGCCAGACTGAAGGAGAATGATGGGGGTCTGCAGATTGAGGTCCTTATCATGGGCGAGAGCCGATTGGTGATTTTGCACGAGTCCGAGGACACCCCTGGCACCAAGATCGGAACTGTTGTCTCAACTCGACGACGTCTCTTTGGCGACAAGGGCAAGCCAGAGCCGCCAAGCGCCATTATTGTCCACCCTCGCCCCGATCAGCCCCGAAATGTGTCGTTCAATCTGAGCGTTAACAAGACTAGAAGTCTGCGCGCGAAATCAAATGGCCGCGATAGCATCGATGTCGAGGATCCGACACACGACTTCACGCTTCCCATCGGACGATCCAAGTCCGGTTTCGGTTTCGCCGACACACTCAACGCCGCCGCAGATTTACAGGATGACGTTACGACGCGCGACGTCGAGGTGGAGATGTTGGATATCTTGGAGATTGATCAGGCGTTGGAGGATCTGGATCACGACCGGGGTAGCGGAAGGAAGAAGGTCTTCTTCGAGGAGGACCAGGACCGGTCGTTCCATTAATGTTTGCTGCTGACGAGACCTGACCTAGACGAGACGAGACCAGAATGTACGATACCCCATGGGCCGTCCCGGCAACCGACCCAGATTTGCGAGTTCCCGCCGAAGACAACATCAATATCGTTGTGCCATATCTGTGAAAGTTTCCTTTTCCCTTCTTTTCTCTCAACATATCATTAGCCATGGCTCTCTGAAGACCATGGCAAATCCGCACGTCAAGGTGGAGCGCAAGGAGAGATTCATCCTTGATCCAGCTCTGTATTACGAGCGGTACATCAAACAGACCTCCACATCCTCTGGGACATTTCGGATCCGCAAGGCACAAGATCGCTCAAGATGGAGTGTTGTCGGTGGAAGAAGACTCCATGATGGGATGTGTCAACGCCGACGGTTTCTACTTTTTATGGACAGGGACTTTTATGGGTGGGGGCGGGTGGTTCGGTCTGCGGATTGACCATTTGCTCTCCCGGCCTTTTATATCATGTCATCCTGCTATCTGCCTTGATTCCTTGACTCTGGTCTTTGACTGGAGGACGATGGGAGGGGGCGGGGGATGTCAGGGTTGGGAGGTGGTTCTGTCGGTACATTTTTCATGCTGTGCTTTTGATGTTTGCGTGATCTTGATACTGCTTTTCGACATGTGTCTTGCATGATCCATATCGTCTTCCTTATCTGAGGCTCAGAACCTGTCCATGTCTACCTGCCAGCCTTGCACTCTTAAGTCACATCCAGCTCTGGAGTCTTTGACCAGAGGACTCACAGCGATACTAGAGGCGGCCTATCCTGCTGTCGCCTGAGCAGACCCGTGCGGCTCTGGCATATCGAGAACGACAGTGAACTCGATCTGGGTAGCATCAAGGATCTCTGCAGGATAGTAGTTGGTTCTGGTGTGAGGAGCAGGTCATTACTTTTTGTAGAATAAGGTAGGACAAGCTAGAATTATTCCCAGGGAAATTATGTGAAGCTTGCAATTCAGCACCGTGGTCATTCTGCAGAGTGTCCTCAATCTACCTTGAATCTTGGGCTGAGTTGGCGCCCATTGGTCTCACACTCACACGGGAAAGCAGGTTTGGATTTCATCCCGAGCCTGGGTTGTATCATCGCTCGAAGCTGATCGGCAAGCGTACTGGGCGGCATGATGGTATCGATCCCCAGGCTCCGAGATCCTATCCAGACGGGCTTTATTGATGCTTCGGGCAGCCTTGGAAATGGATGGTATGCGTCTAGTCTTTACTGTTTTCTCGCTCTGGCTCTCATCATCATTGACGGACCGGACGAATTTCGCTGGTGCCGTGTTGCCGGGTCTTGCCAGGGTCAGGGCATTCATCACCTGGTATATGATCTTGTTCTTTGTCGTTGTATCGATTGCCCGGCAGAGCAGTGGCTTCATCATTGGTATCAGCCAGCCATTGATGTGGGGATGCCAAGTCCTTTCACACAGCCTTCGGAGACACTCATCGCTTCTATACGTATGTACCTTACCTCAAGGTTGACAAAATTTTGCATTGCACACATCTCCTCGCGTCCCGATTATTTTTATGAGAGTATTCACGTGCGGTACAAGGACGATGAATACTAACGTCAAGCGCTGGTTCTGATTATATAGTGGGCTCTGCCGAGAGGGACCGATGACTTTAGGGATGGGTTTACCTCCTGGTCCGACCTTTAGAGTTTGCCGCCTTCCAGCTCATCTCATTGAAGGCCTCGGTTCGACTTGGGTTGTTGCGGTAGTCTGTAAATCGTCCTCTAAGGATCCTTTTACATGTTCTCTCCTGCGCTCCTTCGTATCGAGTTGCTGTGTTGGTGGTTAGTATTCAGCGGTGACTTCCAGCCGTTAAGACATTGATTTACATCCTTCGAGAGATACTTATCCTTGGCGGCTTATAGTACTGGCCATCCATAGGTTTTGAGAATACAAGGTTGTGTCAGCTGGGTTGTATTTACTTCATACTTTCTCTTGCTGGATTCGTAACATCGTCACAGCAAGGATATCGTCCCTGAGCCTTCCACCGAATCCTCTTCTGGAAAGTTCTTCCCACGCATCACGTCTGAAGAAACTCCTAGCGTGAAGGTTCTGATGGATCTGAGCAACCCCATGTAAACGAATATGGCTCCATCATGGTATTTATGTGCTCCTAAGGTCTTAGTAGTCACGGACAAGTACTGGTTCGACCATCAGATACCTCGATTTGAAGGGGGAGTTGGAGACAGCTGTTACCAGCTTAAGTATTTGAGAAACAGCAGGATACACGTTAAATCGTTGCATGCAACATGTCTCCCGTAAAAGTGTTGTGATCGTTGGATTGACTAGTGGCCATGACACTGAGTAGTTGACAATTGAAGGTCATGTTGACCAACGAAGTGTTTCAAAATGTGTTGTGATCAATCGCAATGTTGATTTGACCTTGCTAAAACGCCCCATGGAGTCACCCTCGAACCCCTTCCATGCTATGAGGTGGTGTGGTAGTGTACAAATAGGTCGCGCATAAGACATTTCCAGTCCTCCAGCGGCCTTTCATAACGCATGCTTAAAAATCGTCGTCATACATCTTCCGTCCCGCAAAGTTTTTTGTTTGAGAAGACTGGTCAAAGTTTACAGGTTCTTCTTGACCTGGTCAGCGGTACCCTTGGCCTTGCCAGCAAGCTCGTTGGCCTTGCCCTTGGCCTCACCCTTGAGCTCCTGCGCCTTGCCGGCAGCCTCGCCCTTGAGCTCCTGTGCCTTGCCCTGAGCCTCGCCCTGGGTGTTGGGAACGTTTTGCTTGACCTTTTCGGCGACGTTGGCTGTTGAAGGATATGTTAGTATCTTTCAAGGACGTGGTACCTTGACAAGGGGAGTTAGGTTTGGGAGGAGAGAAGAAAACATACCGCCAGCGTTGATGCCATCAACAAGCTTGTCGCTGACCTTGCGATCGACAGTCTTCAGACCATCCTTGACGGTCTCTGTCGCGGACTTTTGTGCGGCGAAGGAGGTGGTGAATGTTCTGGGGGCAGCGACGGCGGCTCTAGGGATGACGCGGGGGATGGTGGCCAGACGGCGGCCGGTGGCTTCGATGAGGAAAGACATTGTGATGTGTTTGTGTGATTGGTGATGTAGTGGTTTTGTGAAAGGGTTTATTGGTGATGGTGACAAGTCGTCGGTTGATTCGTTTGAAACTTTCGAGGTGTTGTTGATGTTATGATGAACAGGTAAGAAGGGAGGTAGAGAAGAGTGAAAGTGCAGCCAGAGAGCTCAAATATGAAAGACAAGAGGAAACCCGGAAGGAGCTACCCCTCGCTCGCGTACCTCCCTTAGCTTACCTTCTCCCGTCCCAGTCTGTGTCTCCCATGGTGAGGTGCGAAAAAGGGGGAGCTAGGCCCGAGTTGAAGCTGAGCTACGTATGAGCTACCCGTGATGTCATGGGGTTCGTCCATTGAGGCGAAAGAGGAGGAAAGGGCAGTAGGCGATAATTAGCACTAACACGGTCTGGAACACTCGTGAATGCACTGACCCGACTGCACCCCAGGGCGGCAACTTCCCCCCCAAAATCTCCACCTGTACAGCGCAGGTGCACTGGGCTGGACTAAAGGGGAGCAAAAAAAAAAAGAGGCGCTATGACGTCCCAACAACCACCAAGACAATTGTATCACACCTACATCATCGATCCCGGACCAATCCCTCCAGTCTCCAGCCGCTTGACATTTGATCCAATGCACGTTCAATGCAGCCCGTAGACAGTGCTGGTGAGAGTTGGCACATATACCGTCCAGGTCCCGATTCTCGACCTCTTTGCGCGGAATGAGCGGTTGGTGTTGGAGAATATGACGCCATATCTACTTACGTTTGCCTGGCCTCCATCAGACCACCGGCTGCCTTACCTAATACCAACCTCTCTGCCACTGTACACGTTGTTTTGGGTTGTTTGCATAGCCTCGGTCTTCAGCGTTTGAAAAGCTAATCCAGATAGGGCAGGGCGGAATGAAGAGAAGTAGGTAGCCCAAGGTAAGCTGGCATTCTGGCATTCTGGCATTCTGGCTAGACAGTCAGCTTGGCACTCGTTCCTTTCACAAAAGCCCCAGCTTCGGTCCTAGTCCCCATCAAGTCAAGCAGCACCTTCTCAGAGGTTCCCCGCCACGATGAATCTCGATCTCATCCGTGCCGCACCGGGATCCACCACCCGGCACGGATCCGAGGTGGACCTTATGAGCTCTCTTCACCCGACATGCATATCGGAACTTCTTCAAGTTTGTTCATGTGCCCTAAGTCTCTTGGATGATCGATTGAATGATAATACCACAGCATCGTCAAACGAACAACTCACTGGACAAGGTGTCAAACATAGCCGCTACATATAGGTCCAACCTCAAGTCGCTGAAATTCCTCCCCCAAGCTGACCCATCTCACCGTGGCCTCGGGGCTACTATCAAATGATAAATACATAGCTCCCACGCCCGACCTAGACCATAGATATTCACACATACTACACAGCCTTACTGGCCCTTGAAGACAGGCTTCCTCTTCTCCTGGAACGCCTTGAGCGCCTCATTGCGGTCATCCGTAGCAACGACTCGCTCATACATTTTGTTTTCAACCTCCTCCCTCGCCCACGCCACAGCCTGAAGCCCAGCACGGATGGCAATCGGTCCGCCCTCGCAAATCTCCCCCGCCAGCCTCACGCTCTCGCTCAGCACCGCCTTGCGCGCCGCCAGCAACACGCCCTTATCCTTGTCGCCCTCGCCCGCCTTCTCCGCCTCCTCGTGCGTAATGTCCACCAGCCGATCCGCGATGCCCAAGAAGTAGGCCTCGGGTGCGGAGACGCGGCGGCCCGTGAGGATCAGGTCGCGTGCGCGGGAGAGGCCGATGAGCGCGGGCAGGCGGTGGGTGCCGCCGGCGCCGGGGATGATGCCCAGACGCGTCTCGGGGAGGCCGACGAGGGCGTTGGAGGAGAGCACGCGGAAGTGTGTTGAGAGGGCGAGCTCGAGGCCGCCCCCTAGGGCGATGGAGGAGATTGCCGAGATTGTCGGGATCGGGAGGTTCTGGAGGGAGGTGAAGGTGGAGCGGAGATTATGGAGGAACTCGTCCGTCCTGCGCGGGCTCATGTGTTAGCAAGCTAGCTCTTCCTCGAAACATCGACGAGATACCAAATCAACTGGCCCTCAGCTGACAACTTACTCTTCCTGTGTGAAGCCCCGTCTCTCCTTCAAGTCCGCACCAGCGCAGAAGCTCGTCTCGACGGCGCTGGCGAGAATCAGGGCGCGCGTGGGGCCCTTGACGTCCTTGCCGGCGGCGCCGCCAAAGATTGGCTGCGGCGGCACCTCGGCACCGGTTTCCGGGTCATACTGGGCGTGGACGGCGTCGACCTCAGCGCGCAGCTGGGAGAGAAGAGCTTTGGAGAGAGCGTTTCGCGCCTTGGGCCGGTTCAGCTCCAGAATACGAATGTGGCCGGACCCGGGCGCCGGGAGCTGTGTGACGGTGATGAGCGGCTGGTTGGAGTCTGCGGCCGTCGAGGTCGAGTAGAATGCTCCAGCCGCCGCTGCGGATCTGGAGTTTGCTGTTGTGGTGCGCGGGATGCGGATTGCGATCCGGAGGGGAGCGAGACGGGGAGGCATTGTGGCGGTTGGGGTAGGCTGCAGTGAGAAGCGAATGCAGAACGATCCAAAGAAAGAAATCCGAGATTGAAGACGGGTTTTCAATCGCGGTGATGGGCGTTGAACGATTCGCAGAGTTCGATGTCGACGTTGTGCCGATAGAGCTGGAGGTTGTGCCGAGGACAGCAATTGAGGAGCAGAAGCTCCATTGGTGAGTATACAATGACGTTCGCACCAATTCGGTTTTGCTCGGCTATTTGTGGAGACCTGTTGCACAGCTCCTGTGCATAAAACGGTACGTACTCCCTTTGTGTTCTCGGTGACGGGAAGCTCCCAGCGAAGCTCACCGAGCCATGGCACCCGGGGAGCTTGGATCACACACCTCGCTCACACCGTGACCAAAAACCGCCGTGCCTTCCATCGACGATGCTTGGCATTTCAGAAACACCACAAAAGCTGTGAAAAGGCACCACGATCGAAGAACTTATGGACATCAACATAGGCGCCCGGAAGCAGCCAAGCCAAAACCTCATCTCATCATCAAGACGCTATCAAGGGGCGTTCTTGGCCCGTGCACAGTGACGTCCACGTCCTCCTCACGTTCCTGGTGCCAAGCGCACACGCCAAGCATTTCTGTCCCTGCGCAAGTACAGCAAGGAACAAGTCTAGCTGAGCTGTCGCGTGTCTCAATCGAAGTTGCTAAAATCGCGCTTGTCCCCCTTCTCTTGTCCCTCATGTTGCTAATAATTTAGTGATCGAAAGCATTAGCAAAAATCATGTCAGACAACACGGCAGAAAGCATCCTCGTCCCTTTCTTGGGCGCTTTCCAAGCTTCCTTATCGGTGCTCCTCACCATCTCCGCGGGTGTCATTGCCGCCCAGTATGGTCTCCTCGACGACCGCAGCAGCAAGAAGATTTCGACCTTTTGCGTTCGAATGGCGCTTCCTGCTCTCCTGATCACGAATGTTGGATCGCAGCTTGACCTCGAGACTGTAAGTTCCACGGGCCCACCCTTCGGCACCTTATATCCGTCTCGTCTGACCTATACACCAGGGAATCCGATACGTCCCCATCATCATCTGGGCCATCTTTTACACTACCGTGTCAATTGGCATCGGCTTCGTCCTGACAAAAGTCTTTGGCATGCCAGACTGGGTCATCCCAGCCATCGCCTTCAATAACACCACCAGTCTGCCCCTCTTGCTCGTGCAATCCCTAGACGCCACCGGCATCCTTAGCTCCATCGATGACAGCTCTGGCGTCGTCACCAAGGCCAAGAGCTACTTTTTGGTGAATGCCATGATTGGCAACTCCCTCACATTCGCTCTGGGACCCAAACTCTTGAATGGCCAAGAAGAGGAAGCCCCTGACAAGGCCGAGGGAGACCACAATGACGATGACAATGACAGCGACGGCGAAGAAGACCTCGAGTCCCAAGAGCAGGACGCCGTCGAGCACAACGAGCAAACCTCCCTGCTTCCAGACCGCACCGTGACCAGAATCACCCGCACAAAGTACCGCGTCTACGGCAAGGGCAACAAATACTGGTCCAACCTATCCCCGACATCCCGCTCGATCCTCGAATTCCTGTACAGCTTCGTCAACGCCCCCGTCATCGGCGCGCTCATCGGCGCCCTTCTCGGCCTCGTTCCCGCCCTCCACCGCCTCTTCTTCAACGAGCCCGAGGAGGGCGGCTACTTCAACGCCTGGCTCACGTCCTCAGTTAAGAATGTCGGCGAGCTCTTCGCCGTGCTGCAGGTCATCGTCGTGGGCGTCAAGCTGTCCAAAGCGATCTTGCAGTACAAGAACGGGGAGGATTCGAAGGAGAGCAAGGTGCCTGTGGTGCCTTTCTTGGCGGTCACGTTTGTTAGGTTCATTCTCTGGCCCGTCATTTCGATTGGCGTGATTTATCTCTTGGCTAGCAGGACGGAACTGTTGACCAAGGATGCGCTTTTGTGGTTTTGCTTGATGCTTATGCCTACTGGACCTCCGGCTATGAAGTTGTCCGCGCTGGCGGATGTTGATGGGTCTGAGGATTCTCTGAAGATGTTGATTGCCAAGTTTTTGACTGTAAGTTGACACCTCCTGGATTCTTGCCCTCTGACACATGCATGATATGAGTCTTCGCTGACAAGATTCCAGATGTCTTATATTGTATCACCTCTGATCTGTTTCACGGTTGTTGGTGCCTTGAAAGCAAGCGAGGCCATTGTTGCCAAGTAGACACTTAGTCTTAGGTTTTCTTAAATCGATTTGGAGAGATCGATAGGTGCTTCTAGTAATCCTAGGACATAAGGATGTTTCTGGAGCAGGTACATCTAATTAGCCATCTATGAATTGATAAGGTTTGCGGATGATGGGCAAGCTTGACTCATACAATATTTACTGCACCTGCACTTGTTCACTAATTGATCGATAATATTTGCTTCCTGACTTCTTTCGACTCTTCCTTTTTCACTACTACCATGCCTGATCATTACTGTATCGCGCTGGATTATATTGAGCCTTCACTAATGCTACATATTACATTCTTACTGAGATTCATCTTTCTTCGCCCTCCGCTTTGCCTCTCGCATGTTGTATTGGGCTCACAGGATTTCGCAACAGTAATATGGCAAACTATCCTCCAGACAATTGAAGGGAGTTTGAGACTCTGAGGAAGAGCTAAGCAGATTTCAAAATCTCTTACATAGCTAATGAGGCTTATTTCCGGTGATGTTAAACTTTTCTAGAAGATCACAGTAGGGCACAATGCTCACCAGACAACAAAGTCATGAAAGAGTAGAGGCTGTGATGATTCTGATTTGCTTTTAACCTGAAGGACTAACTACAGGTGCAAGGTGTTTCCTGGCACCTCCAATGCCTTTGTGCTCAGCCCAAGTCTGCTGGGCTCAACAGTATCGTATGTACTGACTTGAATACCCATTACTTTGAAGCCCGGACAAGTTGTCTAAGTCCAAGCTTCCCAAGTAACAATATCTCCCTTCACCACCCCCGTACTCAATGCCAACTAGAAGCTCTCCGTGAAGATGTGATTCACTCGTGAACCTCCCACCTTGTCTTCACCATCAAGGCTGCCGCTCTTCAGATATCCGCTTCTCACATGACTTCCAGCGCCTTCTACCTCGCCCACTGCCCTGGATATTTCCAAAAAAGGCCTTCCTTCCAAAACAGAAAATTTCTTTTCCAAACTCATCTCCATCTACATCTTTCACCGCGGACATCGTCAATTCATTTACCGCGAAGATGTGGTCTGGTAACGATAGCGGACAAGCTACCGTCATTAGACGCAGACGTCGCAGAGGCCGTAGAGGCCGCAACACCGCGATGGCAGTCGAGAACAACGCAATGAAAGTCGACGACACCGCCATGGATATTGACGATACCATCATGGACATCGATGTCGACAATACCACCATGGACGTCGACAACATCACCACGGGCGTCAACCACATCAACATGGCGAGCACCAACAACCCCGCCATCACCGACGCTCAGCGCCGCTGCAGTCTCCTCAGCCTGCCCTACGAGATCCGCTACAAAATCTACATCCAAGTTGTCAAGGGCTCCGAAGTCACCTGCGACAGCATCGTCCTCGTCCGCGATAACCGCCGCCTTCGCAGTGTCCCGTCCCTGGCCTGGACAGCCACCACAGAGCACAGCGCCTTCCTCCTGACCTGCCGCCAGATCTACGACGAAGCCCGCTCCTTCTACTGGGCCCACTCCCTCGTCGACTCGGGCGCGCAGCGCTTCTCGACCATGGCAGACCTGTTGAGCCCCTTTGCTTGTCAGAATGCCGAGCACATCCAGGGCGTCGTCGGCACCGTCAGAGATTGTGCGCAGCCTGCTGGGTTCCTGCAGTCCTTCCCGCGCGCCAAAACGGTTCGGCTTTCTGACAGCTTTGTCACGCACTTTTCGTACGAGACTTTCGTCGCTGTCTGCAAGGATGAGGAGTCTGTTGTTGCGCATATCCAGGATAGAATGGAGGTCAAGGGTCTGGATAAGTTGATCGCCGATGTTCAGTTTGGCAATGGCGTGCAGTTCTTGGTTGCTGCTGTCTTGATTGGACACCCTGTCAAGAGTGACGGTACTGTGGTTAAGGATGAGAAGCACAAGCACAAGGTCAGTTTTATTTCGTTCAACGAGGAATTGAAGTTCGAGCTCCGTTGGGATATCTCTGAGTGTCTTTTCTTCTTTTTTTTCTTTTTTCTTTTTTCTTTTTTTCCCTTTCATTCTCCTACCTTGCTACTCGGGACTTCATTCTGACCCTGATTCTGTTCAAACTTTAGCATTGCTTCTACAACATGACCACTGGCAAGCTCTTGGTCGTCGACGTCGAGATCAACCGCGGCTCCCTTCGCAAGTTTTCCGAGGACAACATCGACCTTTACAACTTCGAGCATATCTTGGAGGGTCGCTACCTTCGCGGTCTGATGTGATGGACTCACTTATCGACGCCTAATCATACCATGTCGCCATCAGAAAATTTGAAGACGTGCAGTGTTCCTTGGACAGGAAGTTGAAGCCTGAAGGGGGGCAACGTATACGGTATTAGGAGGGCGGAAGTCAACATTGTACCATTAGAGGGGTCTTTCTGGAATGAATGAAGAGGAATGGACAAAGTCTTTCAGTCTGATAAGAGTAGATACGAAGACTACAATTGATATATTACCAAGCCTTTGTAGTCTCACAAGATACACCCTCGAGCCTAGTGGCACGTGATCGCGAAACTTCGGGAATCCTCATGACACGAATTATTACTTCCATTGATGTGGCTTCATGGGCGAAAGGAAAAGATAGTTTAACTGCTAATTAGAAATGTGGCAGTTATCATACGAACGAGCTTGGGTAAGCGGCAAGAAGCGGACTTAGGGGGGAGAAAGGAAGTCAGCAAGGATGCCAAGTGGACATTTAAAGTCCCGTTGCTCCGTACACCCTGAAGATTGATCGACAAGTTCATCTGGAGGCACAGGCGAGCTGTAATTGATACTGACCCGCCCCATCCCGCCGGCTGTGCTGACTCGGGTTATAGTTGGGGGCAGAATGGAGAAAGATGTGTTTTTTGATTCATTTGATTGGCGGATTTGGCCTAAATTTGCACTCCCAATTAATTGCGTTGGTGTTTACTGAATACCATCTCATCAATTTTTGATACATTCGCCAAGATTATTTCATATTGGAAGAACTCTATATCATCAACTATGTGGGATAGCATATTAGGTAGGAAGATATAAAGAATCACGCCTTCCTCAAACAATACCAACAGTATCATCGACATATCTGCCTGATATTAGTACGCAACCGAAGCACACCAATTCATTCCTCCAGTCGATCAACCCCTACAAAATGCAGTTCCAGACGCTCTTTGTTGCCGTCGCTACCCTCATGGCTGCGAACGGTGTAGCTGCCAACAGCTGCTCACTCTGGAATGGCAAGTCATGCCCTGCCAATCAGCCTCAGACCTGCGGCGACGGATGTTGCTGTGAAGTGGCCGTCGTCGGTTGCACATGCTAAGACGGAGGAGGTAATAATTTCACGTACACCATGCTATCATCGTTTTAAATTTTCCAGCTGACAAAAACAACTCAGGACTGAGAAGGGACCCTGCTGGCTAAGGTTAACTTCCTGGCTTTGATAAGGCGCCTCTACACGAAGGGAGACCGAGAGATCACTGAAGTTATCAATTCTCAGGGCAGCTTATGCCGCTTCATTGAACGTTTTCTCTTTCCATGAAAATCTGTACTATGGTCCAGAAAAGGACCAAAACAAACATCTAGAAATACCTCTCATAAGCCTTGGCCGCATCCATAATCATTTTATTAAAAGTTATCCAACGTTGTCCAGTCGCCTTTGAAGCCTTCGACGCATCGACCCTCCGTGACTCAGGTGGCTCGCCGTAGTCCTCCAGATACCCCTTCCCTGGCTCTCCCTCCTGGATAATGTCCCTCCTCTCAGGATACGCCTTCCTCAACAGGTCGCAATACGCCTGAATATTGGCAAAGTTACCATTCCCACCAGCAATGAAGCGCTGCCCGTCAGACACGTCCGGTCTATCAGCAGCAAACACAATAAGACGCCCGACGTCACGGGCGTCAACGTGCGTCCCGTTGCCAGGTCCCACGGGCGGCACCTCCTCGCCGCTCATGACGCGATATGCAATGATGGCGGTATCACTCAGCCTCTTGGGGTCCTCGGGGAGGATGAGCGGAGGGCCAGCGACCCACACCGGGTTGACGGCCGTCATGCTGAAGTTGATCTTGTCCTTATTCTTCTCCTTAAAGTCCCAGAAAGCGCGCTCTCCCTTGACCTTACTGGCGCCGTAGATTTGGTGGCCCGTCGCCTCGGAGCCTGCCTTCTCGAGAATCTCCTCCGCCTCATCGTTCCAGTCCGCTTCCGAGACCACACGCCCCTGAAACTTGGGACTCGAGCCGCGGATCGCCACAATGGACGACATGTACACAAAGGATTTTAACCCGGTCTCCTTTATCGCCGATTCAAGGATGCCGAGAGTGCCCTGCACGGCAGTCCCTAGGACCTCCTCGACATTTGTGTTAGTGAAGCTGACGGGTGTTGCGAGGTGGGCTATAGAGGTGACGCCTTTGAGTGCTTCGTCAAAGGCGCCTGGGACGATGATGTCTGGGACGATGGCCGTGGACAGCTGGCCCGATGCGGCGTGCGAGGGGAGGGCGGCGGTGAGCTCGTCTGCGGAGCGCTGGGTCCTGACGGCGGCGCGGACGGAGTAGCCAGCCAGGAGGTAGGCTTCGACTGTTCGGGCTCCAATGAAGCCGTTTGCGCCTGTGACGAGGGCCAGACCTTTTGTTGCCGACATTATTGGGGTTTGGTTGAGATAAGAGAGGATTCAGCAGGTGAGTGTGAGAAGGGGGAACTTCAAGACGTGTTCAGTAGTCTCAGTACTTATGTTGCTGGACCGCGGACTGTTGTTGAAGTTGTGTAAGTTGTAAGAGCATATGAAGTTGGTTGAGTGAGACATGTGAGGTCTTGGCTCGGCTTTAAACGCTAAATACGATACAATGGACCAGTGGTCTTATCGCCAGTTTATCCCCGTGTCTTTGTCAGACATTCGTCCACGGATGGAGTAATGACGCTTCTGTTCCTAGCGTGCAGCGAGGCGCTTTCGGCCCCGATGAGATTTTGGCGCGGTGCTCATTCATAAATCGGCATAGTGCTTCGGATGAGGTGAGACGATGAGTAAACACAACATTCACTTCGTATTACATAATTTTGAGTGGTGCTACTGGAACTCCACGGGCTATTTGAAGTTCTTCTCATTTTACTCAGTCGCCGTTGTCATGTATATTGCTATTCAAATGCCTCGCCAGATCTTGAACCTGTCTACCTAAACCTTTTCTTTACTGACTAGGGTAAATAAAACATGTGTCTCCCAAATCATTTGTCAAGTCCTCCGGCCTCACGGACGGCAGACTGCGCATTATTGGCATGAGATCCAGTCTCAATCATCTTGGCCACCTCCGCATCATCATGCGGCGCCCTCAACTTGCCCACGGTCGTAAAGTCAGACCGCGGCCGCTTAACGATAATACCCTCCCGCGCCTCGCCCAACGCGCCACCAACACCAGCTTGGCCCGTCCTCAGCGCAGCAAGCGACTTGTGACGCTCCGAGAGGAGCTCGTCCTCGGCCTCCCAGCTGAGTGAGAGCAACGCGTTCTCCTTGGGCCGGACGGCCGGGTGGGTGAAGAGGGAGAGCACGCAAGGTCTCTCGCCGCTGGTCTCGGTGTTGCGGCCCGTGCCGTGCCAGATGCGGCCCTCGAAGATCATGGCGGTGCCGGCGGGCGCCTCGCAGGCGATTGTGCCCTCGCTGGTGAAGACGTTGCGGGGGCGGACGTTCTTGTTGTGCGAGCCGGGGAAGATGCGCGTGCCGCCGTTCTTCTCGGTGAAGTCGCACAGGAGCCAGGAGATGTTAAGGGCGCAGGGCTTGGTGCGGCCGTGGCCCATGATGCCTTGGTCCCAGTGGAGGACCTGGGGCATGCCGCCGGGGCGGGCGATGTTGATCTGTTATCATGTTGTTAGTCATTTATGCCTTTTCGTTAGATGGAAAAGAGTGCTTACGTTGTAGGACCACAAAAGGGGGTTATTGCAGCCAAGGTACCAAGGCACAACCTCATCGATCAGAGGGTGGTTCAGCAGATCAAGGAACTCCTCTCCCTTGTTGAAGATGTTCCAGATGCGCTGGTTGGGTTTCTTTGGGCCGCCATCAAATGTTGCCACGCCGGCATTACGCTCGCCGGCAGCCTGCTCTTGGGCGCCCTTCTTGAGGATGGCGACTTGCTCGGGGGTGAGTGCGTTCTTCATCAGACCATAACCCCATTTCCTCAAGTCACGCTTCACCTGCTCGATATCCTCCGTCGGCTTGGGCAGCTCGTCGAGGTTGAGCTCGTCCTTTGTCGTCGGAGCATCCGTGGGGTTCGGGGTGATGAGATCTGCAAAGCGGATGGCCAGGGGGTAGTCTCCTTTGGTGGGGACGGCCGACATGAACACGGCGGTCTGAGGGTCATCGCGGCCTTCAGCCAGGTCCTCGAACCGCTCCGGGCGCCATGTAAGCTCAAAAGCGGGCTCGGCGCCGTCGGTAGGGGCTGAATCGAGGAGCTTGACCGGGCTGGAGCGGGCGTCAATGTAGACGGGGTCGGGGTCCGCGAAGTCGCCTTCGGCAAAGGTGACCTTTGCTAGTACGTTGAGCTCTTGGAAAGCCTAAACCCCGGTCACTCTTGGGTTAGTAAAGAGGGTTCCTCCAATGACGGGCTTCTTCGTAGAGTTATTACCTGTAGCTTATCGGCAAGGATCAGCCGTGCGAGGTTGCTCTGTGCTGTAAAGCGCTGGGCCTTGTTTCCGTAGCTGACGGAGCTGAAGTCAAGGGCCCCAAGGGGCTTGGAGGGTGCTGGCATAGACATCTTGTTGTTTGAAATTGACGCTGAAAGAATGTTCGAGGATGGTAGTTTGGTGAAAGGTGATGTGAGATTGATTGGAGAGTATACACCTTCCCGCTACTCATGGGAGAATTCAAATAGTTATACGTTCAGACTTCGCGATGCTGCTAGGATGAGAGTATTCGCTTCATGTCTGGGCATGTCGCCTCGCAACTCTAATCGAGTTGTTGTTGAAGCAACGCCATACGCGAATGAAGCGTTACGGACTACAGCATCGTAGACTTTGGCCGATGCCGTGCTCACTTAGCTGCGCCGGGCCCGGGTTGTGAACAGAGTTGCAACGTTTCTCAATGTTAGCTCCCCCAGTTTCTCGGTCTCGGTCTCGGTCTCAGTTGTTTTACATGATTAAGATTGGGCTTGACGTCGCACTCCCCCACAAAAACCCTGGGGTCGTGGAACTCAATTATAACCAGCTTGCAAGCCAGTGCAGTAATTGGTAATAAGAGACTCAGGACTACTCCGTTCATTTGAAGACGGGCTGTGTAGGCACGACTAAAAGGTATCACGTTGTACAGCCCTGCGCCGGTAGATAACCAGCGTAACCCCTTGCTTGTGTCAAGGATTTAGAATAGATGAATCTACAAACCTTCGTGCGGGAAGCGCTGATTAGTCCCTTGGCTGCCACGCTGCCTAATCGTAGTCGTTGCTTATTTATATTATTACCGCCAACAGCTTGTATCCATACCTCGCTCTCGCACTCTATCGACGGCCGGGAAGCATATTAGAGCTTGGTACCGCAGTAGCTGCAAGCTTGGTTTACCTTGCCTCGCCCCTGCGCCCCCTTATCCCCCCAACGTTAGATCGCAGAAACTTAAGTCCGCAGGACGATCCAGCGGGCGGCGGCAGTTGAAGCACCGACCCGCGATGTGGCGTTCTTGGACTCGGGCAATGACGGTTCCCGGGCCGTCCGGGGTGGATTCCGGGGCACGCCGTACAAGGTAGCTTTTCGCTGAGTGAGTCGCTCGGCGGGTCTAGTTGGTGGATATTGCAATTCATCAGTGGACCGTGCCTCAACGATTCTTGCCGCATTTGGTGTTCAACTCGATGGCAATCTTAGTTACTTGTTTCTTGCAGTCTTGTTTCACAGCCCTGTGTACCTGTTGTACGTTGGTCTCGAAGTAGTCCTTCTAGACCAGAGTACTGGACATGTTCTCTTCATACACGAAGATTTGACTGGGGAAACTCGGTGGCATGCTGGCAGTTCGTGTAAGTTGCGGTGTAACGTGTAAATCGAATTGTTGTCACAATTGGTATCAAGATGTCTGTTCAGAGAGATCCGTAGTTCATCGAATTCAAGCACCGCCACATAGGTAAGAAAGAGTTACCTCGGAAGTGCCCCATAAGAACGTATCCTTAAGCAGTGGCTAGGGAGCTGAAAGGTAGGGAAATCTTCTACTTCTCCATGCAAGTCACGCACTTAGTCAGTTACTAGGTAGCCAACTCGCTCTCGTGACTCATCCTCGCTCTCGCGTCCCCTGTCCTCAGCCACACATGGAGCTTATTACGACCCCCATAGCCACTAGCTCCTCACCAATGGTCTTGCACAATGTCTGCACATTGACCGCGATCCGCGGCCTTGTCTTCGCCTTTGTGTTGGCACTCGGGTGGTTGTCATAACTTCAATCTAATGAGGAGCACCCAAAATTTGAACCGGCTGTCCGGCATCGAAATGTGCCTAGCTTGCACAAGACAAGGCTCATGACCTGGCTAGGAGGCGGGTAAGAACTTGTTCGCAGATAATGAGAATATTGACAGGACTATATCTGGTTTATCTCCCAGCTCTCGATATCACATTCTTCACTTAGGACTTAAACCTTCTTTGACTTTTGTCTATAATTGCAGCTCTTGGCACCCTGCGACAGATATTCAAAATGTTACGAAACAAGTTGGTACGGGCGCTATCTGCACTTAACTTTGCAGTTGGTGTCATCGCTACGAATAGTTCATGCAAGTGTGTAAGTCTATTATCCCCCCCCCCCCCTCCCCCCCGCCAAGATGGATCAATCCGACATCCCAACTATTCGTCTCAGATGAACTGACACAAGGCCATGCTTGGGGCGGCGTTTCGCAACAGGCACCTAACGACGCTTGCTGGCCATCTACAAGTGACTGGCAGCAGTTCAATGCTACTCTCTCGGGGAAGCTCATCGCGATTAAACCAGTCGCTATATCTTGCTACCCAGGTCTTGATTATGACGCAAAGTTGTGCACCAGTGTCTTGGTGGACTGGTACAAGGGGGAATGGATGTCATCGCACCCGGTTGGCCTGGACTACCCCCTGAACATCACATGCCCTCCCGTCCAACCTACATCGAACTCGACCGCCGCAGGAGGCTCTTGTACTCTCGGCACGAACCCCGTATACGCCGTTAACGTGACGGATACCGACGACATCGTCGCCGCCCTTCAGTTCGCAGAGGAGAAGAACCTGAGAGTCGTGGTCAAAAGCACCGGGCACGATGTCCTCGGCCGCAGCGACGGCTTCGGCGGCTTGGAGATTTGGCTTCGCTACTTCCGCAACGGCATCACCCCGCAAACCTCGTTCCAGTCCTCCACCGGCTGTGCGGCATCGGGATGGGCCGGCAGTGCCATGAAGCTTGCCGGTGCGTACATGTGGGGTGAGAGCTACGCAGCCGCAAAGGAGAACAATGTCGTCGTCGTAGGCGGAGGAAGCTCAACCGTCTGCAGCACGGGAGGTTGGATGCAGGGCGGCGGCCACGGCCCGGCCAGCCATACTTTCGGTCTCGGCGCTGACCAGGTGCTCGAGGCTGAGCTGATCCTCGCAAACGGTACCGCTGTCACGGTTAACGCCTGCCAGCATCAGGACCTTTACTATGCCATTCGTGGCGGAGGTCCCAGCTCCTACGGTGTTGTCGTGTCAACTACGGTCAAGACGTACCCGCAGGTCACTGTGGCCGTTCAGAACCTCCAGTTCGCGGCCCCTACTGGAACCTCCAAGATCGCTTTTATGGATGCGCTCGCGACTCTCTACACCTCGATCCCGGAATTGGTGGAGGCTGGTTTTGCCGGCTACAGCCACTGGCAGGTTGACGGCCAGTCTGCTTCTTTCAACAACTACACTACGGCGTATTCTCACGCCATCTACGTCTTCAATAAGACCGCTGAGGAGGCAGAAGCCGCGGGCAAGAGCCTTCTTGACAAGATTCACAAGTTCAACGACACCCTCTTTGTTAACTCGAGCTATGTGGCTTTTGACGACTACTGGACCTTCTTCAAGGAGGTCAGCGCCGATAATAACCCTGTCGGTCTCATGGCCGCCTCTGGATCTCGCCTCCTCGACACGGATGCCGTCAACAACTTCACGAGCGTCCGTGATCTTGTCGAGACCCTGGCCGGAAAGACGGGCGAATATGTCACAAACGTCATCTCTATCGTCTCGGGCGGCCAAGTCTGGGCCGATGCAGCTCAGGAGTACTCCGCCGTTCTGCCCGCCTGGCGGACGGCTGTCTTGCATCAGTCTGTCGCGCGTATTCTCAGCCCCGGTGTCAGCGATGCTCGCTTTCAAGAGGTCCATGACGACGTCACATTTAACAAGATTGGCGCCATGAAGATCTTGGCCCCGAACATGGGATCGTACATGAACGAGGGTGATGCTTTTGATCCTGATTGGAAGGTGGATTACTACGGTGTCAATTACAACAGGCTTCAGTGTATCAAGGAGTACTACGACCCCGGAGAGCTCTTCTACTGTCCGACTTGTGTCGGAAGCGATAAGTGGCAAGAAGACCCTGTCGGACGTTTGTGCCGCGCGTAGTCACATTGGCTCTGGTTGACATTGAAATGGACCCACGCCGGTGTGTTTGTGGTGAACAATTGATTAAATGAGAAGACCTAAAATTCTAACTCTGAACCTATAGACTTTCAATAAGACTTTACCATTAGCACTCCTTACGTGATACCTGCAGTAGGTTACAGTCCGGTAGCAAAGTGAAATTTACGGTGAGTTCGAATTTCATTTCCGAAATGCTCGAATCGACTTCAACCACAGCCGGCAATAGAGCAAGCCGAAAACTTTCTAGGTCTTAGAAATTACTCTTGATCTGCTACTGAGTGCCATGCAATTTTTGAGTCGTTTTGAGGAGCGCAATATTTCGTGCGTATGTGTGCTTTCGGTCTACTGATACTCATTCCTTGTATATAGGCTGTATCTACACGGTAGATAATGTGAGGGGTCTGTATGTAACGAACAACAATCACATTACTACTAGTATTGTTAGATCATAATGCTGTACTCATGATTTGATACCGCGATGAAATAAGTCTTCAGCGAACTTTTGATATGTATTGAATACTAAGTGTATGTTAATTCCGTTCCTCACTATCTACACGTTTCTTTGAGACCAGGACAGTTGAACTCATAAACAATCTTGCGGTAGCTTCATACTAGTACATATGCTTGCTCGATACATATGTAGCATGCACAAAGCCAGAGACATCTCTTCAACATATGAAACAAGCTCAACAGGTCTTTAAAGCAAGAAAGAGTCAGGATGATCGTTGATATACTGCATAGCCTCAACACGCCAGTCGTCTCTGGTCACACCAGGTCCGCTCTCCTTGAAGTTGTACGTCTCCAAGCCCTCCTCAGAGTACCTGGGCCACTCAGCAAAGTCCAGACCATGGTTGTTTGGGTCCAGTGTGCGAATGAAGGAGATGGCAGTGGCCTGGTAGGCCTGAGTATTCTTGCTCAACGCATACGGCAGACCGGCAAACATGTAGAACCACACGTCGAAAGCATGGAATGATCCCAGCACGGGCAGGTGCGTCAGGACGCCAAGGTCAGGCAGCAGGCCCGCCGACGGGATGCTCACGTCGGTGACGTAGTTCCACACAGTCTGTTCTGAGACGTTGTAATGTGCCAGAAGGTTGCGTCGCTGAGCCTGGAAGCTGAAGTCGCCAACCACGGCGGCCAGGCGCTTGAAGTTGGGCGTGACGGCATTGAGGATGCCTGTGCCAAAGGGGGAGCCTTTGGTGATGTCTGCGGGGTAGAGCTTCATGAGGCCGGCCATGTCCGCGTCGGAAGCCTTAGGCCACCAGATTGTTTGGAAATAGTTGGCAAAGTCCTCGTCTGAGAGAGTCTCGAGCTGGGCGAGAAGTGAGAAGAGGGTACCCTCGTCGCGCATGTCGCCAGTGATCAGTGGCACCGAGGCCATCTTGCCAGCTGCGGCGAGGCGGTGGGGAGAGTCCTTGAGATGCTTCCCATCGGGACGAAGGGTCCACGTCGAGGCAAGGGAACGAGGCCCGAGGACTAGTTAGAAGCATCTTATTAGCACAACACCAAGACACGACTTATGCTGAGAGTGAACTTACGCATTCCCTCTTCGTTGACGGAGGCCATGATATCATCAAAGTCGGCAACTTTCAGACAAGCAATCTTGTCCGATGCACCTGCACATCCCGTCCTCTCGACCATGTGATCAAAGAAAGGCTGAGCTCGCTCAGCACTCTCAACCATGACCGGACCACCAGACAAGGCCATGGCACCGCGGAACAAGTCAGTGGCGCCCTCGCCCTCGTCCCAGAGTAGATGTGCAACGACGGACCAGCTGCCAGCCGACTCACCCATGATGACGACCTGGTCAGGGTCGCCGCCAAAGTCAGCAATGTGCTCCTGCACCCACTGCATCGCTACTCGCTGGTCCTCGAGACCGAGGTTGAGAAGCCCCGCTTCCTCCATCTCCCGCGACGCAGAGAAGCCAAAGGCATTGAGGCGGTAGTTTGCCGAGACGCCAATGATTGGCTGGCCCAGGTCGACAGAGGTCCGGACAAGGCCGCCGACATTGTAGTTGAGCAGCTCGCCGCGGATCACGTCCGTCTCGCTGGTGTCGGTGAAGGGGCTGCCGACCTCGTAGCCGCCGCCGTGGATCCAAATCACCACAGGCAGCTTGTCGCCCTTGGTTGTGCCCACGGGTGTCTGGACGTTGATGAGGAGGCAGTCCTCGCTGCGGGCTCGACCGATGAGGTTGAAGACCGTATCGGCGAGGGCACCCACGACGGGGCCGATTTGCGTGCCCAGCTCGCCCAGGACTAGACTGCTGTTTGAGTCGGTGGTCAGAATTGAGGCCGTTGTCTTTTGCGGGCAGATGGGGCCATAGTCGCTGGCGTCGAAGTCACCTAGCTGCTCGGTGTAGAGCTGCGAATGCTCGAAGCGGCCGGCCGAGGCGAAGGGAATGCCTTGGGCAAGTTAGCAATGTCACCGGCGGTGAGTCCGTTGGTATTCCTGTTGAATCATGACAACGTACCCAAGAATTCCTGGATGTTTCCGTTCACACGCCCCGTTACATTGGCGTAGCTGACCTCGACCTTGGGCTTCAAGGTTTCACGGGATGTGATGGGCTTCGCAGCGACCAGGGCAAAGTGGGATGCCGCAAGGAGGGCCGTGAGCCCAATCCATTTGGACGAAATCATAATAAATGAAAAGAGTGACCGATGTGATTAAAGAGTGTAGGTCAGAGTTGAGTGTGCTCAACTCGTCAGTTGGATATCAGACAATACAGAAACTGAACAAAATCAGTGAAACTGCAGAGAGCAAAAGAGTGAAGCTGCTTCCTGCATGATGTTCACGAACCCTTGGACTCAAGGGGCACAATAGATGTATTCTATGAATACAATCTGCTCCTCCATTTTCTTACAAATACACCGAACATTCCGGACCCTCACTGCTCGATTGCGATCATCCTGAGAAGTGCCAAAGAAGACTTCAATGGACGGAACTTGCTCCGTCCTCCTATCTTTTCAGTTCCCAATCGAACGTAAGGCAAGGGCCATCAGACTACGGACATGCTTTCAGCTAGTCATGGCTAACGCTCAATAAGAAATTCTCGTTGACGATCAACGCTCTTTCATATCCTTAATGGAGTTGAGACTGGTGACTGGGGAGTTCTGGGTTAATATGTTGTCTGCGTAGGCCAAATTACATTTTACCCCTTTTGAGCTATACCCTTGGAGTATTGCCCAACGTGGACGACGATCACTCAGTCTGGATAATACCTACCCCTCTCAGGTCGATATTGGGCGGTGTATGGATGTCATCGCTGCCACGCCGGCGTTGATTTCTCCGAAAACTCTCTCAAAAACTCTCCGGAGTTCGGACCAGGGGCCGGCAAAAGAGAGTTCGGCATTGCATGCCTCTACAAGATGAGAACCAAGATGAGTCCTTGACCCCTTATCTCGATCTCTAGGTATGGTCTATGATCACTGATCCATTGCATCGCGGAGCAACTATGCATCGGTAACCGACGGGATGTCGATACCTTGTGCAAGCCCCTTGTCCGAGTCTCAACATCGCAGGAGATCAAATTGACCCCTGGCTGTCATTCTACGAGGGTGTGGACCACGCGGCACCGGGATGCCGCCGATATTGAAATCGGGAACGACAGGCCTCCGTTGGTTGATGACAAACAAAACTCTCTCTCGAGCACGGACGTGACTCAGGCCATGGGTTTGAAACTTTCTCCACGTGTTCATGCTCGAATGGGAAAAAGATGCCCAATCTGACACAGTCAAAATGTTATTCTGCTTGTGAACGGTGGTGAGTGCGGGCTGTGGTCCCACCATATGAGGGCAGGCGGAGCAAGACACAAAGTGCGAGACACATGACCTGTTGGTATGGGAGCAAACTTGAAGCTATTCGAGATGGGTAAAAAAATGATTATTCTAGGGGCGAGTTCTATCGCAATCTAAGTAACTAGCTTAAGGTATCTTCCAAGTTCCAATTTCCTCCACCAGTATCGTGTTCAGCGTTCATAGACACAAAGAAAAGGCTATCATCAGTAGAAATACAACAAATCACATGGTATCTTATAACACCTAAACATGCTGCCTTTCCTTTCGCTCCTCTTCCCACGTGACGTCCCTCTGGACGACAATGGTATCCATGGGCAGGTCCTCGCCGAGAACGTCACGCTTGTCGCTGGTCCTGGTAGCCCCGGAGACTGAGTACTTCATATTGCTGCCATGGTGCAGGTACTCTTCGGAATCGTTACCGGTCGTCAGACGCTCGTGGTTCGCGGAGCGCTTGAAGTTGTGAGAGACGCCGGGACGCGAGTTACCGCCAGTGCCTCCGAAGGTAGCAGGCCCGCCCGAGACGTGGTTGGACTTCTGGTCCCGGGTCGACCACGGCGTGCCGTAACGGATCCTGCGGTAAACCGGAACCAGAGTGACGGCGCAAGCGCCGATGATGGCGATGTAGATCTCCACGACGGTGGCGGTCCACATGAGAGCGTATTGCTCTATAATTTGAATAAGTTAGCGCCAAATGATTCGAGGTTCAAGAAGTTGGGGGGTTTACGTACGTGTCATGTCTGTTACGCCTATTGAGTAGAGGGAGGCTAACGAGCCGAACCGCACGAGACTAGCAACCACCACACTGTCTCACTTTGTTAGATCGTGCCCACAGACGCGTGTTCAAATTTTTTTTTCGAGGTCTACTCACAGACTGCCTAGCGCGAAAACGCAGCAAATGCCGACTCTCTTGCTCGAGCTGACCTGCAGCTTCATAGTCTCGCGGATCGGAAGCACAAGCGTGAGGATGTCGATTAGACTGTTGGCGATCGAGTTGCCCACAAAGTAGAGAATTAGGTCGATGCAGGTACCCGCGCCTGGGTTCGTCGTCTGTTCCCACGTGTATGCCAGCGGGCGGCACTGCAAACAGTTGGTGATCAAGATGGCGATGAGCCAACCCAAGCATGCCGCCGAGAGCGCATAGATGCCCTTTTGCATGAACGGCGTGGGGAAGACGCGCCAGTAGAAGGCCAGCAGAGACAGCTTAATCAATGGCGAAGAAAAGCCATAGCAGAACTCGGCGACGACAACGCACTGCAGTAGAGTTAGTTCTCCACGGCTTGTCGTTTTGCTGTGGGAGTGAGGACTGCATCAAACCTTCAAGAACGTGATCAGCTGATTTGGGTCTTCAGCCATCACATCGACGATGCTTCGTCCCAAGCCGCCGTGAACCGTTGCCTCGATAGTGGTGGCGCAGAAAGCATGGTTGATGATCAGACTGACCAACGCCAGCCAGTCGTCGAGACCCCATCCCAAACCCGTGAGCTTTCGTGCCCAGAATCGTCCGATACAGGTGATGGTGGCTATCACCGCAAGAATGACATTGATGGCGATGATTGCTGTGTCGGTATGCGGCTCATTGCTGCTCGTCGATGTTGTTGTCGAAGCCATGTTCTATTATTCGAAGCGTCCCTGGTCTGACCCTGAGTCGTGTATCCTGTCGAGGAGGAGAGTCACCAACAAACCCAACCAACAACTGTCAAATATGATGACCAGAGCAGGAAGGTGACGAATGTCGCGAGAACCGGTGGGCTGTATTGTTTATGCACGATAAAAGCTCCTTTAGTGGCCCACGGGGGGCAGAACCAAAGTCCAGTCTCGATCCTTGGGATGCCGGGCGCGCCCCTCGCCGCGCCCCGTTGATAGACATCAGTCTAGCATCAGTCTAGAATGGTCAAGATTCGGAAACATGTCGTAATGCCTGTGCCCCCAAAGTGGTGCCGTCGCACGCTCGAGGGACAAGACTGCGAGAGAATTGCCCGTTGTAGGTTTGCAAAGTCGCAGACGGGCCAATGCCGCGCATACTACCCTAGCTGCCGGCCTTGAAGAGACCTACTTGCCGGTGCAGGGATACGTTTGTTACTTGGAATTGCGAGTCATGTGACGCCCACTCTCCGTGCTACTAGACTCCATTCAACTGTCCACCCCAACACCACTCTCGAACGAAGGACATGACTCGCCAAGGGCCCCCCAAGAGTCCACCATCACCAAATGTTACCCTATCAAGAAGTGTCAAATCGCGGGCTTCATGTAAAGCGCTGTCTGGCCGAGATTGATCTTGCATCGAGAACTGGATCTGGGCGGGGCCGCGTTGAAGAAACCTCGACTTGTCAACCAGGTCCAGGTCGGACGGAATACTCCCCAAAATGTCGAGCTTCACCCCTGGATGCCGGAGTCTAGTCCCGAACTCTGAAGAAATCGCGGTTCGCAGAAACAAAAAAACATGCAGAGTTTTTCATGGGGTTTTGCTGCCCCCAGCAAATTGCCACCTCGATTGGGGAAAGGAAAGACGAACTCTGCCTGAACTGTATCATTGACGATCTGTTTCGGCAAGTATTAAGCGCAGTTATCCTCTTGTTGGTATATCGCACCCGGCTGATGAACTTCTCCTGAGTGCTTCCCCTTTTGTGACCCTGGTGATCGATCGACATAGTTGTACCGAGGCTTTCATATACTCACTCAACATCTCTGTAAATCTGTAACTTTCCATCAAGATACTCACTTCTTTACGTCGCAATTACACGGCGATCACTCACGATGGCCGGCACTCAAGGGGGAAGTTTCCCTATTCTCTCCTACCAACCTCTACGAATCTTCTATCAGATCTTCGGCGCCCTCTTCATTCTCTTCCCCTGCTTGCCGATATGGGCCATCAAGGCCCTGATTCCCTCCTGCCGTCCTCACCCGAAATGGGGCTTCAAGCAGGCCCTCATGGCGCGCTTGACGCGAAGCATCGTTGATCTCTATTCGAACGTGGGCATCACTGAGACGCATACCCTCAAGCCAGGCAAGGAGGGCGACCGCTTCCAGACTGCCGGCCCCTTCCCTTCAGATCTCTACCTCGGCCCTCTGGCCTCGAACCCTGACGTGAAGCCAACCACCGTGGGGGGCACCTGGTTCCCGGCCAAGCCCGACGTCGAGAAGGGTTTCGAAGGCAACGTGGTTCTGCAGATTCACGGTGGTGCATTTGTGTTGGGTGACGGCCGCACGGGATACTGCGGCTTCATGGCAAACACGCTCATCGAAAAGGCCGGCGCCGGCGCCGTCTTTGCGCCTCAGTACCGGCTATCAGGCTACGGCAGTGGTGCCGAAAAGGCTGCGAACCCTTTCCCTGCTGCACTGCAAGACGTTCTCACCAGCTATCTCTACCTGACCCGAACTCTCAACATCCCGTCCAACCGTATCGTGCTCTGCGGCGACAGCGCGGGCGGCAACCTTGTGATAGCCCTGCTGCGCTACCTCGACACCTACGGACCGGACCTTGGACTTGCCATCCCCAGCTGTGCTGTGCTCATCGCCCCTTGGGTCAATCCCTTGGCCAGCTTGGGTCCGGACTCGGTGTACAAGCAGCACGAGCACTGGAGCACCGACTACCTCCCCGTCTCGTTCTTGCGCTGGGGCGCAAAGGTGTACTCGGCCGGCGTTTCTGAAGAGAACATACCGTATGTGACGCCGCTTGGTAACGCCTGGGGCACTAAGGTGCCTCTCTTCGTATCCATGGGTGAGGCCGAGATCCTGGAGACGGACGGTACTGCGTGGTGCCGGCAGATGCAGGAGGCTGAGAGCAGCGTCAGAGTATCGTATGAAGAGAATGCTGTACATGATACACTGCTGATGGGCGCCATTATTGGCTGGACCGAGAGCGCGCAGGCTGTGGCTACGAGAATCGGAGAGTTCTTGAAAGAGGTGCAGACTGAGAAGGCGCCCAGGGGGGCGGACGAGGCTTGAAGATGAAAGATCGACTCATTCTAAAGTAATATGTAGATGAATGTATATGTAAGTATAAGCATATTGATATTTAACAAGGAACACGTTTCAACTATGATTTCTTCCCTTCGTATGTGGTCAGTGATAAACGTCCCTTTCTAAAAGTGACCTCAACTGGAAACGAAACGTCTCATAGTGGCAAACAAATAGTGGCGGATCACAGGCTGCGGAAAATGCTTGCTCTAGTTCAAAAGTGTTAATGTGTTTGGATAGGTTCTCGTTGAAGTCATTCATGAATTATGGGATATATACAGGTATCAATGTGACACGATTCAAAGTAAGATAGCGCGTCATTTTCGGCTCCAGATTCAAATCCGCAAGGAATCCCCAATGTCATTTAAGTAGGAGATCGCCTCTTCGCGATAGTTATCTGCCACAATCTCCGCGCCGGCCTCGCTCCAGAGAATTGTTGACCGGCTAGTCGACTCGTATTGCGGCCAAGTAGGCACATCACTCATGTCGTGCCTGTTGGGATCCAAGTTGTTTACAAACGCAATCAGCGTACCCATCATATGGCGCGAATTGTTCGCCGGCAGCGTACCAAAGAAGTTTAACACGACGTCACTCGCATGGAAACTTCCAAGATACGGAATCGCCTCCAGCGTGCTGGCATCGGCATAATCGGCCGCCGTAACCGCGCCCAGCGTCGCCGAGCCATCCAGTACCGCCGCGGGCAGCGCCTGTTCGACCTGGTAGTTCCACTTGGTGCCCGGCGCGGCATCAAGAAGCTGCCTGCGCTGGCTCTCGAAACTATAGTCGCCAGTGATGGCCGATATGCGCTTGAACTGCATGTAAAGCGCATTGTTCTCGCCCGTACCGAATGGCGAACCGGCCGTCTGGTTGGCCGGGTACAGCGTCAAGATCTGCTCGAGCTGCGCGTCGGTGGCGTTGGGCCACCAGGTTCTCAGGAAGTAGTCCATTACTTCGTCGTCGGTGGTGGTGTTGGCGGCGTTGACGAGTGAGAAGAGGGTGCCTTCATCTCGCATGTCACCCCAGAGCAGAGGAACGTTGGCGATGGCTCCCGCGCTGACCAGTTTGTCAGGGCTATCGGTGAAGACTTCGCCGTCGGGGCGGATGGTCCAGGACGAGGCCAAGCTGTTGTAGCCTAGGAAGTACGGTACTGTCTGCATGTGCGCGTAGATGTCGTCGTATGAGGCTTCCCTCAGGCAGGCGATCACGTCTACGGCGTCACTACATCCAACGTAACTAGCAAGGGAGTCAAAGGTATCCTGCTGTCTCGCCGGACCATCAACCTTAAGCGGTCCACCCGAGCTGCCGACGGCCGCCCAAAAGAGGCCCTCGTTGTCACCGCCGTTGGCTACAAGATGTGCAGCCACTGACCAGCTACCCGCACTCTCGCCCCAGATAGTGACCTTGTCGGCATCACCGCCAAACGAGCCGATATGCTTGTTAACCCATCGAAGAGCGTTGCGCTGGTCACCAAAGCCCAGGTTCAGCAAGCCAGCGGCAGCCAGCTCTTCAGAGGCGCTGAAGCCAAAGTGGTTCAGCCGGTAGTTAATCGTGGCCACAATGACGGGCTGTCCCATGGCGACGCTACGGGCAACAATATTGGCGGCCTCGTAGACTACGCCGGGATTCTCGACATCGGCCTGCATCAGCGAGCCGCCTGCGCCGGCCTCGAAGCCGCCGCCGTGGATCCACACCAGCACGGGCAGGCCGGCGGTGCTGCTGGTATTCTGCGGTACGTGGATGTTGATCGAGAGGCAGTCCTCGCCCTGCTCTAGTGTAGACTGCGAGAGTGCGGCAACGAGGGTACCGGAGAGACTGCCCAGGGGCAGTACAGAGGGGTCGATGGAGGATGGGAGTTCGTGCTGCGGGCAGACGACGCCGTAGGCTGAAACGTTTTGTACGCCGGAGACGACGGTCTCAGCTATTATCGAGTGGTTGAACCGCGCCGCAGTAGCATAAGGAATGCCTAGTAGCAGCTGTGATCAGTACTGGGTTTCACAGTTGATAAAGAGAAGCAAGGCTAGTTTACCAAGATAGTTCGAGGTGCCTGTCCTGTCGTCGTTTTTGCCTTGGAACTGAGCGTACGAGGTGTTCACGATGGGCGTTGAGTCTCCGACGAAAAGAGTGGCGCCGGTGACGATTTGAGTTGTTGCATGGCAAATACCCACCGCCGAGGCGAGGATGGCAAGTCGTTGCAGCATGGTATTAAAGAGTGGACGTCTGAGTTGGACAGACAGGACTTGGTTGTGAATGAGAAGCTGAGAGCAGGCTTGTCGTTCACGATAGTATGGAGGGTGCTATGAGACGATATTTAAATACTTTAGCTAAGCCTCCCGCCGGGCCGTCATTATACAAACTGTTAAATTCTTCATGCGAAGCCGGTTCCGGGAGGCCCGTAGGAAATCCCGGAGGACTCCCGATAGAAACCCAGATGCAGATTCATTGACCGGACAGTGACGCAAGCAAGAGGTCTAAGCGGCCTCCCACCACACATTATTGGAAATTTGATTGCTATCGCACTTCAATGCGCAGACTGCGAGGGGTGTTCATGACTAGGTATTTACCACGTGGGATATATGAAATATTGAACCGGTGGGGTGATATGAGCAAAAGCCAGAAGGAGAACTTGGGCCGGTTCTGGACGTTGGGATAGCTCATGACTCGACTACCTTGCCCGGATGACCAGCAGGGTCAATCCCTGTTGCCACATGGGATGACAGCAATGACGATGGTTCCGTTATCACGTACATCGACCCCAGCGGCGGGGACAAGATCCAGGAATAGTGCAACAACGAAGGTGCTGTGGTGACTTCCAAATCTGATCTGCGCTGATTCGTGGCAGCTTCTGAGCTTCATGTGATGTGAAGCTCTTGTTGTCAGAATTTTGTCACATCTCGAAATCCGCTCTGATCGGTCATTCTTGGAAAACGGAGGATCTTGTAGGAGAAAAGGTGGCCTTTGAAAGAAGTACTTGTCTCGACTGGTAAGCTGATGCCACTACGCCTTCGACTGATGCCTTATCTTTTGATCTATACGGCTCGCAATGACATAAACTTGCCCTTGTCATTGGACTAATACTATCGCTTGATATTATCGACAACACGCACACTTAGTCAATAAGCCGGCTTCCATCAAGTGCGAAATTTCCCTCGTATTAGTACCGATGAAGTGTTGTATTCGAATAACATGTCGTACAATTTTTAGTTACGCCGTAGCCTTAACTAAAACACTTAATTTACCTCTCTGCCTTCCTAACCACTTCCTCTATTCATGTCCGTCACTTTCCCCGCATCCCGAGCACAATCTTCTCGCTTTACAAAGCGTCAATGTCAATCTCTGTATTCTTTCGCCTCGCGACAAAAGCCTTTGTACTACCCGACGACAAGGAGAGGCCGAACTCATGAATCGTGTGCTCGAATCCACTATCAAGCTTCCAGTCGTATTTCTGCACCAAGTGACACAAGAGGACCTTGACCTCGTTGGAGGCAAAAAATCTCCCAGGACACGCGTGCAGACCGTGGCCGAATCCCATGTGCGCCACCGATGTGCTTACCAGATGAGCTTTGCTATCCATCTTGGGGTCTCCACGCATCCGGAAGAATCGATACCCGTCAAACTCAAGAGGGTTTGGATATACGTTGGGGTCCACCATCGAGCCGAGGTCTGCCATGCAGCGGTCTCCCTTCTCGAGGACCAATCCTCCAGGAAGCTTGACTTGCCTGGTTGCTTTCCGATTCATCGTCGCTAGGAACCAATCAGTCGTTGTCACTAAGATGCCTGAAAGATTTACCAAATTGCTTACCAGAAGTTGTCGGCTTAAGTCTTTGCGCCTCCTTAATGACGCTGTCAAGCAGCTTCATATTGAACAAAGCAGACTTGGTCCAACCTTCTTTCCGAAGAACCGCCACAATCTCAGCGCGAACATCCTCCATCAGCTTTGGTCTTACCATCAGTCGAAGCATCGTTTCCGTTGCGAGGTCAGTAGTGGTGTGGATAGCCACAATAGAGAGGCCAAGCTGGGCTCCTACTGGGTCAAAAGGACTGCCCTGAGACTCTTCCATGACCCATTGAATCGCGTCTTTGTACGAAGGTTCAGTCCTCCCTTCAGACAAGGCCATCTTCTTCTCCCATTCTCGCTTTTCCAATACCGGGTTCAGAACGCGTCGTGCCTCTGCAACTTGTTCTTTGAGCAGTCGACACTGCGGAATAAAGTAGCAGGCTATGTGGCGAAGATAGGAAGGGTACTGCCGAAGAATTTCTGCGGCTGAAAAGGTGTTGACGCTATAAGAGCCGGTAATTTTAATCCATGCATCGTTTCGACAGAGTTCATCGCCAAGAAACACACGAGAGGAAAGACGAGCGACGAGGTTGAGAAGTGCTTCTTGAAGCGGAATCTCTCGCCACTCTGTTTCTTTTAGTTAGGCTTTTCCATACGATAAGGTGGCTTACCTGTCGAAGTTCCGAGAATCAGGCGCGTAGCAAAGTCAGCTTCCAGCGACAGTGGTGCAGTAATCTCATCTTGACAAGTACTTTAGTAAGCAATTGAAGCTCAGGCGAGGTGTCAAAGACGTACTGAGCATTTTGGTGATCTTTTTATTGATAGTTTTGTGAAGCAGTTCGTCCTTTCGCCCGTCAAAAGCAAAGCCATCAAACCCGGGAATGTTAGGGTGAAAGTTATCCACGAAGGCGTCGAGAAAATTCAGAGAACGCTCGTTGCGCATCTCGTCGGCGTGGTGCGCCGGAATAACAATGAGATCCCCCAAGTCGGTGAACATTCGGTAGGGCTTGCCTTTGAAGGCCTCTCGAGCATTGGCCATCAGACTTCGAGCATTACTGACAAAGTGTTGTTTGGTCTTCTGGCCAAGGAAATCCCACTTTGGGGGGCGGTTGATGTAAGGGAGGTGGTCGTGGCGTCCTGGTATGGAGATATATGCGAGTGTCAAGGAGAGGACTACGAAGAGCAGGCCAAGAGCCGACTGCTGCGGCTCTAGTGTGGCAGGCCAGCCGCTCCAGGATAAAGACATGTTGGTGGTCTATGTCGTGGATTTGTTGAAGTAGATTTGTCTTCCAAGCTCGTCATGAGATGGTATGCAAAGCTAGGAGGATGATCGCTCTAGAGCTATCTTATACAACATAGGTCGGAGTCCTGGCACTCCGCGACATCCCGAGTGCTACCTGAGATAAAGAAGCCGGGCCGTCCCTGAGCCTACTACCTTACATATCAAGTACCAAATTATCCGTGTCAAAGACCAGGCTGTATGTGAGAGAGTGGATACTCTGAGCATCTGCCGCGTACACGATGTCTACTGTCAAAGATTTTGACCGCCATGGTCCAATAGGTTCGTTGCATATGTCATCGGAACTTGGCACCGCCATTCATGTTTCCATGTAACGATGAAAACTCTGCTTTCATCGCACTCTAGGACTCCGTAGTCCGTACATACATATGAGCGCGGAGACGCACTCCGGTGGGATTCGAGGTGGGGTTTCGAGCTGGCGATGCTCTCGATGGTTCCCACAGTGTGCGTCGGTTAAAGAGCCGCCATCCCCCCTGGACTCAAGCTGCAGCTCCTTTGTATTTTGACATAATGAGAACAGTGTTCGTGCCATGTCGGTAGCATGTCCTAGCGCAGGTTCGTGTCGAGGTCACAGCCGTCGTTGTTGAGGCGGGATGGGTTTATTGCCCAATTAGGCAATGTGGGATGGAGGGGCGCCAAAACGGGACACATGCAACTTCGATATCATCAAGAAGCCGCAGAAAAGGCAGTCGAAACAAGGTAGAAAATAGCTGACTGGGCCTGCCTGAGAGCTCTACTCATTTTCTCGCTGACATTTGAGTCATTTGAATCTAAGGTATCTTAATCAATAAAGCCCTGCATAAGATACGCCCATGATGTGTCTCCCTTTCGTCTCTTCATCCAAGCTGGGGGCGGAGCTGGGAGATTTAAAGAGTATTACTAGTCAGAGAATGGATCGATTCTCTCCAGTAATCACACTCTCTTTCTGTTTCGCGTCCTTGTTACAGTAGCATGAGGTACCTAAGTACGATATTAAGGCACCCGATAGAAGACTGGCAACTAGACTAGGTTGGGTGCCGGCTTTTCTAGGTTTGAAGCCTCTTGCTCATACAACTTGGCGAGCTCACGAAGAACCCAGCTCATCCGTGGTGCGACTATTAATCGGATTTTAGAAACACGGATTTAATGACAGATTCGAATAGTTACTTACCACCCCAAACCCAGGTATCGTCATATAATCCAGCCCAGACACGAGCCAGATCCGCAGCAAGAGAACAAGATGGAGAGCGATCAACGTCGATTTGGCTGAGAAGATACCGGACATTGTCGAGGACCTTTGTTTCTTCTGGCGTAGTCTTTCCACTCGTAGACTGCAGGCTTTCGACCGTATGAACCCACTTTGTCACTAGGAGGGCTGACAAGGTCAGTACGAAAATATCTTCTTCATGACGAAATCTCCAAGGGAGAAATAAATGCGTACCAGCATCCCATCCCGCCAAAGCATGTTCCACACTCCACTTCAATGCCGCCGTCTTTTGCATGAGCAAGACTCCCGCTCGAATGGGTATAGCAAAGCCTTCCAGAGCACAGTCGACAGCCATGGTCATGTAGCCATCCCGCTCCTGAGCAGCATCAAAGTAGCGTTGCAAAATCACCAGCATATCCTGGCTACTCTCCTGGAAGAGTAACGAGCGATCTAACGATCGGAAGTTGATGAAAGCTCGGCCATACGAAACGCGCAAAACGGCAAATGCATTAAACAGCAACGGACCATCGGCTTCACTCCAGGTGCCGTCGTTGCCATCGCGTGTTTCAGTCAGCAGGTCTCTGCACCTCGAAAGAGCGGCCTCAATTCTCTTGGCGTCAGATTGGTGGCTTTCTCGATAACTTTGAGTCGTTCCGTAACAGGCCTCTTTCCCGTGGGCGAAGAACCAAACGACAATGGCGACTTGGTGCATCACGATTGACGCTGCGAACGGTGACCACATCCAGCTTGTGTCTAGTCTTTCTTCCTGTGCGCTATTACCAAATATCCAAGCTGTTGCTTGACGAAGACCCAGGGGTGAAGAAGGCAGTCGTCTCTGCAGAGACGACCTCCATTCAGAAGCACTCGTGGCATCCCATAGCTCGTCTTCGGCGGGCATCTCGATGTTGCACTCTTCTAGCGCTGCAAAACCTGGAACGATACCGTAGGCTATGACAAGGAGGTTACCAAGCACCATGCAGCAGCACATTAGACTTGATGATCTCAGTCAGCGGCGAAATATTTGAAGGGGATATGTGCTCTCACCGCTTTATCGACTCATGTTCGACCCAAGAATTCCACTGAGAGAGGTTTAAGTTCATCGAGCCAGGCTTGGCGCGGGCCATTCTTGACCGAAAATCCTGAAATGATGTATAAGCGTGTGGAAATGATGTCTCAAAACCTGTGCACGCACTGCTGATAGATGGCCGCAGCCGACGAGAGCCTGACGTATCAACCGCGGCTCACCGCTGAAGGAAGCGAAGAAGACGAGAATGAACCGCGTCTGGGCCAGTACTAGCGGCCCCTGGTCTGGTGGGGGTGAGTCTCGAGGTCTCGCCCAGTCATCCAATAGTTCTGGGATAGCCTGTAGTCTTTCAAAGTCTATGCTGGCTAGAACTCGTTCGGCTGTAAAATAGAGCGACGAGGCCATCTTTCTCTGAAGTCTGTGGAGGGCACCTATGGCGCATATTCCCAGGATTAGTGGACTAGGAGCCTTCTCTAATTCTAGAGTCTGCAAGTGCAGGAAAGGGAAGTGTATGTGAAAGGAATCCACATAGGAGTTGAAGTATTGCTGCAAGCATGTAACGGGTGGAAGTTGAAAGTCCCTGAGCTGCGCCTTAGTGAGGTGTGACTCTATATCAGCTAAGCAGTGAGCTCTCATCTCTTCTGTGAAAATGACTTTGTGGTTCTTCGCCGTCGTCGACTTGAGTATCCGCGGCGACCACCTTCGCCGAGGCCTGAGTGCGCTTTGGCATATGGTGTGCCCTTGTGATAATGTCGGAACACTTTCAAATCTGTCTGAAGAGTTGTTTTGGTTGCCTGAGAGGTGAGTTTGGTGCAAGGATACTGACGGCTGAAGTTGCTCTGGTGCAGTTTCAGATGCTGGAAAAGCGAATTGATCGAAAGTTCTACCCAAGAATGGATCAAAAAACTCCAGAGAAATATCGCTGAAATCAAAATTCTCAACTTCGGACATGATGTCATAGCCAAAGTGAGGTATCTCCCCTAATACATCTGGCCCGTCGACATTTACCGAAGGTAGGCTGCCTTCAGATGACATCTCATTTGATGGTCCTGTGCGGCCCTGCAAACTTTGATTCTGTTCGTTTAGAGTAGCCATAGACGTCGGTTCATCAACTTGGGCATTTCTCGAGGATATTCTCTCCAAACTAGAGGTTGCATCGCATTTCGACTGGTCTCGGTGGAAAGTCTTTTCATGGCGAGTAACGAGATCACTAGCAAAGACATCGTTAGTAGTGAAGCTGTTTGGAATCCAAGCCCAGACAAACTCACTTGCGAGCGAAGCGTCGGCTGCAAATGCGGCAAGAGAATGGCTTCTCTTGTGAATCTACGTTTCTTTAGTCGAAACTCCAGACTCTTCGGAAAGGTCAACCCAACGGCCTCGCTCATGGCGGTTGCGATGCTCGCTTCGCTTGAACGTCTTTGGACAGATCCGACATCGGTGCTGAACTCCTGCCTCTTTGCGGAAAGAGATGACAGACATTCCAGGAGTCTTTGTGGACGCCATAGCCGAGATACGCGCACAACGAACTGGAGGGGGGCTTCCGAATGACGTTGAATTAGTTGTCCACCTAAAGCGTTGAGTAAGAGTTTGAAGGTCAAAGTGCCGGTGACGATGGACGGACTGTTTAAGCCTCCGTGTCCGATCCTTGGAGCCTCCACAAACCGGGGCCGGTGGGCGGGCCGCTGCAGGCTAGTGGCGCGCGGGGTAAATGTCCGAGTAAGTCATGCGCACAATTGATGTAAGTCAATGTATTTAGACAGGGTGGCATTTGACGTCGTAACTCGGTGAGACAAATTCGTACCAATTGCTGTCTGCTGTTGTCTTTCCCCAGTATACGTTTGTCATTGACACAAAAGCCAAGAAGGTGCGTGACAAAGCCGTCAAGCATCATATGTCCTAAGACCTTTCTCTGGGATGAAACAACGTATTGGGTCATTTGAGGGTGTCTGTATAATATTTCGACTTCGGCATGGCTTTGGGTTTCCATTTTCTCTATTGGCAGCATTGACAGAACGAGAATATTGAGCAGATTCTACATGGTGATATAGGCTAGGGACCCCTGATGCGAATTATTGATGTCATCCTTCTTCTGCAACTCAACCAGTAATCCTTGTGTACCTACTTCTGAATTGAGTGCCGTCTCTTGTCCTCTTTGTACGGCGCAGGCTGTACAGTCTGTATACCACATTAGCTGAACAATCTCAAACTGCGAAAGGTCTTTGGTGTACTTACCGCCCTGATAAGTTTCACGGGAGATCCTTCAGATCCCCATTTCACTTCAACAGCCGTCCCTGGAGCGGCATGTTCTTTGTCAATAATCCCTAGTGACACCATTTCCTTGAACCAGTAACTATAGCACCGAGAAACAGCGCAACCGATCGTCTTGCCTCCATGTAAGACTGTACTACCAACAACGTTGCCAAGCAAATTGCGAGGCATTTCCATGTACTCAAAGGGTTCCGGTCGAAAGAGGGACGCAAAAACGTCAGTCACATCTTCCTCGTTCCAAACTAGCGTCACAAGCTGATTTGGCGGACTATCCTTGAGCTTGAGAAGAGCGTCACGCCCGATGAAGTCGTGCTCAAAGTTGATGAGCCAGCCCCAGTTCAGGTCGAATGGCGTGAAGTGGTAGGAGATGGGGTTTGCGCCATGGCTGCCGCTAGCTTTGGAGAGATAGTGGTCAAAGTCGAAGCCAATGTCTCGCGCGAATTGTCGGAACTGAAGAAGTTCCTTGTCATCTGCGGGCGCGTGTACGGCTGGAATGAAGTCTGCGGCCGGGGTCGCAAAGGCGGCTTCAACCTGGTGGTCTTGTGTTAGCCATTTTTTTGTTTGGGTGAAGGGGGGGGGGGGGGGGGGCGGGGGTGCCTTACATGATTCACCATTTTTGCGCGAGCACCCAATTGCCGGATATTGTGCTTCTTGCCAGCGTCCACGATAGAACCGTAGACTTTTTTGGCATCCTCCGTCGAGCCCCAAAGCTCGAAGCCTAGTTCGCCGGATACACCTTGCCTCAGACAAAGGAACTTACTGCCCTCGATCGAGAGCTCCTTATAATGCATGAACTTGATATCCCGGACGCCCTTGTCCGTCACCTCATCCAGAAGCTGAACGCTCCGGGGACCCTGAATTTGAAGAAGAAACCAGTCATCAGTGACCAGCTGCAAGGTGGCATCAAACTTCTTTCTGCCCTGTTGAAACTGGTACACAAGCCAAACCGTCCCGGGACCGCTAGTGAACAGGAAATCGTCCTTTCCAAGCATCAAGACTAGGCCCTCGCCAACAACGCATCCATTATCCTGGCAGAAGATGGCATGCTTCGCTTGCCCGGGCTTGAAGTTGGCCCAACGGTTGGTTGAGATATATTCGAAAAAGGCTTGCGCCTCTGGACCGGTGACGCGGGCTTTGAGAAGCGGCGACCAGTCGCCAATGTAGCAGTCCGTCTTCCAGGAGACGCTCTCGTCGATCCAGCCCGAGTATTCGTAGGCTTCAAATGTTGGACCGAAGCGGGACCAGGTATTGACGCTTGGGTCTATAGGGACGGCGGGAGCCAGCGGGACGAAGTGCTTCTCGCTTCCGTCATCCCACCAGGGTTGTTTTGCTTTCTGAATTTGAGAGTTGGACGCCATCTTGAGGTTCAAAGAATTGTTTTCTGGTGTGAGAATTACGCTTTGGACTAATTACTTCTTTGCTATCGTAGATTTTCTTCATTCTTGTCTTATTTTATCGGCACGACTATGCTTTATGCTTGACCTTTCGATAATCGCTCACTCGAGTCCTCTCCACTCAGAATTGTAAGATGAAGTCATCAACTTCCTGCTGCTGTACATGTCACGGTGGGTTGAGAAATTCAGACAACTACTAACACATCCCAATTAGGCAATGTGGGATGTGGTGTGGGATGTCCCCACCCCTAATATGCTACTCCACTTTCTTGTCAGGGGGTTGATGACTCCCGATATTGGCGACGGACTTGGACGTTGCCGAACATTGCGGTCACATTTTGAATCACATTGCAGATCCATATGTGTTGCATTGTAAGTTCTTGGCCAAAGTCCACAGGATCTGCAGCATTGAATTGTTGGTCCATTGAAGCAAGTTGTCGCTGTCATTGATGTTGATGGCCGAGGGCTCGGCCCCCGTATGTGAACACGAAGGGAAGACAGGCCTCAGAAAAGTTGAAAACACGTTCAAGAAAACAAACTGTGTGCATGTGCACTGGGTTTGATTCCATTACTTCCTAAATTTTTTCATCACTAGACTTTTGTTGTAATTAGAATCGGCGGATGAAACACTAGGATATGTGTTCATGAATGGTCAGGAATTTGAGCTCCCTAATGAAATGACTATGGCAAAATGCCTAGATTCCAGCCAACCTGAATTTGAATTTTGAAAAAGATTCATCTATAAGGCCTCCACCAAGCTGAGTCTGTCTCAAACTTTCGCTAGTAAAATGCTGTATGTAGTCTGGCGATATGATACCACAATGTAATCCAAGTTTTTATGTCTACTTATACTACAACGATCCCAAGTTTAGTTTGTTTGAGGTTTCCGTTTGCCAACATCATCTATGTCACTCCTCTTTAACAAATTATCCTCCTACTTTAGACTCCCTTAAGAGCTTAACCTCCTCCTCCGAAACCAGCACAAAGTCATACGTTAGAAGCCGAGTCGACGGCTTCACATCGTACTTCTCAGCCAACCCGTCAACATCCGATACAGTCTTCAAGTCCACAATAAGCGACTCCTTGACTCCAAAGACCGCATCAGACCTCTCAAATGGATCTCCGCGAAGATACAAAGCTCTATTTCCGCGTCAGAAAGGAATCGTAAAATCAGAGTGAACATTCTGCAGCGCCAACAAGGAGAACTTACGTGATGAGACGATCATAGCCAGGCTTATCGAACATGAAATGAAAGTGACTAGGCCGATACCGATGCCTCCCCAACGTCGCCAACAGTCTCCCAACAGGCCCATCCCCCGGAATCGGATACGGAACCGGCACGATCGCCCGGAAAAAGAACCCTCCCCCCTCATCGCTTCTCACAACCGCCCGTCCGTCAGGATTTTCATACCCGTCATACTGGACATCATAAAACCCCTTTGAATCCGTCTCCCACACATCAACTTTCACCCCGGGAATCGGCACTCCCCGCGTGTCCCTGACCGTCCCCACAACAAGCATCGGCTCCCCGTCCCCATCTCTCGAAATCATCTCCCCGTGCGGCACAGCTTTCGCCTCGTGCGTGTGGAAGGGTCCGAGGACCGTACCCTCCGTCGCTCCGATACCTTGCGGCTTCGGGTGGTCTAACGAATCGACGAGGAGGGAGAGGCCGAGGACGTCGGAGAGGAGGACGAATTCCTGCCGGACGGGTGTGCATGTTTTGCCGACGTCTGTGAGGAAGGCGATGGCGGTCTCCCATTCTGCAGTGGTGAGATTTGTCTCTCGGGCGAAGTCGTGGAGGTGGGTGACGAGCTTTTCTAGAAGGAGGCGGGTGCGGATGTTGGTGCATTTGGAGTTGATGGCGTGGACATTTTCTGTGATGTTGGATATTGTTAGGTCTTTGAGGGGTGGGTGTGAGAGGTCAATGTTGGAAAAGTCCATTGTGGCGGTAATGAGTGAACGAGGTCAATAGAGATTGACTTTGGACACAGGTTTCGTTGGGAAAGCAGACGGAGAGCAGCTCAAACATACCACGACACTTCATATCAAAGTCGTTTCGAAACTGAATATATCTTGATGACCCCCCGGAAAGGGCCTTGAAATCCCGATATGGGAATATCCTCCCGCACTCCCGGGCAAGAGTATGTGGAGATGGCTTTGGCAAAGCAGAGAGACAGACATGTTGCAAAACCAACCAATAGAACACAGAAACCTCTCCCACTGCAGAGAAATCCCAGTCTTTGTTCATCTCGATTCGTTCTAGACCTCCAAGTTACCTCACAGCCCCTCCCCCTCCCCCGCGACTAAACAACACTACCCGCTCCCGGACATCATCCCACTTAGTTACCCCACAAAGTCATACGTCCGTGGGCATCCCACATAACCCGTTCTCTACTTGAACCCCAATGGACATGAGAAGGAGTGTGTTGACATCAGATCCTGGGAGAGCACTGGGTTGTCTCCACCAGGCTGTCTTGATGTCATGGAGGATTGACGCTGAGAAACTCGAACGACCCCAGGGATTATAATCCATCTTCGATGGTCTAACTCATAAGTATCAGTGACAACCAAGGCACGCCTACAGAGTCCTGGATCTTTCTTCTCTCCAAGGAGTCTTTTTCAAAGCAACAACACACGAAGCCTCTCCTCCGTAGCTTAGCTCATTCACAATGGCATCTCAAGACCACCATGGGATCAAAAAGGTAAAGTCACACTATCCCTTTATTACACCATCACGCCGCAAACCCATCATGTCAAACCTCTCCTCCCTTCCAACCTCACACATCGACTAACACCTCTCGCCAACAGATAATAGTAATAGGCACAGGCCCAACAGGCCTCCTCCTCTCCCTCCTCCTCGCCAAACACTCCATCCCCGTCCTCGTCCTCGACAAATCCACCTCCCTCGACACCCAACCCCGCGCAACACACTACGGCCCCCCCGCCAACCGCGTCCTCGAGCGCGCAAACCTCCTCACCCGCGTTCGCCGCCACGGCATCGAAGTAGGCGGCGCCCGCTGGCGCAAACCGGACGGCACCGTCCTCGCCAAGATCGAAAACAGCAGGCTCGGCGGGGATAATCCGGATAGAATCTCTTGTTTGCCGTTGAATTCGCTGTGTAAGATGGCGCTTGAAGACTTGGAGAAGGAGGCTGCGGCGGAGGTGAGGTGGGGGTGTGAGGTTGTGGGGATTCGGGAGGAAGGGGAAGGGAAGGGAGGGAAGGCGGTTGTGAAGGTTAGGACGGAGGAAGGGGTGGAGGAGTTGGAGGCTGATTATGTTGTTGGATGTGATGGCGCGAATAGTACTATTCGGAGACAGCTATTTGGGGACGAGTTTCCTGGGTATACGTGGGACTTGCAAATCATTGCTACAAACGTGAGTAGAAGCCCCCCTTTCCTCCCTCTCGAGAGATTGAACAGCCAGAAAGATAGAGAGAGAGAAGAGAGAGAGAGAGGAACGTCGACCGAAAAAATAAGAAAGATGTTAACCAGAGAACAAAGGTCTACTACGACTTTGAAAAATACGGCTGGGTAGACTCCAACTTTGTCATCCACCCAACAGACTACTTCATGGCCGCCAAAATCCAAGACGACGGCCTCTGGCGCGTCAGCTACGGCGAGGTCCCCGGCCTCAGCCACGACGAGTACCGCGCCCGCCAGCCCGCGAAATACGAGACCATGTTGCCCGGGAACCCGAAGCCGGACGACTATCGAATCGTCAACTTTAGCCCCTACAAGGTACACCAGCGTCTCGCGCCCCGGATGCGCGCGGGGAGGTTCATCTTGGCTGGGGATGCTGCTCACTTGTGCAACCCGTTGTAAGTGTCCTCGTAAATATGACCCATGTATAAGAGCAAGGGGGGAAGAGATGAAGAGAAAGAATCTTGTTTTGTGCCTATCTAACCTCTTGACCCCAACCTCCGCAGCGGCGGCATGGGCCTCACGGGTGGCATCGTCGACGTAGGCGACCTCTTCGACTGCCTAGCAGGCATCCAGGACGGCCGAGCCGACGACGACATACTCGACAAGTACGACCACTACCGACGAGAAAAGTACAACCAGTTCACGAACCCGGTCTCCGAGGCGAACCTCAAGAGGATGGCGTCGGACCCGGACGAGGTCGAGGCTAACGACCCGGGGATCGTCGCCATGCGTGAGGCGGACAAGACTGATGAGGCTGCCGTCGCGTTCCAACTGGTATGGTTGTTTATTCTTGCTTACCACTGTTCCCTCCTGGCTCGCTTTTGGCGGAGTGAAGATCTGATATGCGAACTCGTATAGGGTATACTGGGGCTTGCTCATGATATGACGCAGTATTATAAGAAATAGTGACGGCGGGGGTGAGAGACTTCCCAACTACTGAGATTCGCAAAACTTCAAAGGCAGACTTGGACGGATGTGATCTGGACTACGTACCAGGACTGAGATGGAGAGACGCGCACTGTCAACTTAGGTTCACTCTCTAGGCACAGATTAAAGCTTAAACGTAGTTCATTACAGACAACCGCTCGGTTGCTATTGCCTCCGTGTCTAGAGTCCCGTGACTCAATCCAACATTTGCGGAAATATTATGCTGGTCCGGCCGTCATCTGTAGAGTCACCAGAGCTAATAACCGTCCACGAAGCACCCGTCGTCTCAAGCACAGGAATGAGAGCCTTCCAGACGAAGCCTGAGCGTCTGACCAGGCGGCGTCTCCAGTCAGGACGCTGCGTGGCTGCCTATCTTGACGGTTCGGGGATTCAGAGTATCACTATGACAAGCCAACCACTCGGTTGCGTCGCGACACGAGATTTCGTCGTGTCCGTATGCACTGACACATCGGTGTGGTGTCATCCACGTGAGATTTGCAGCCGTAAGCCAAACTTGGCCAAGGTTTCCATGTGCCGGCGACGATCATATCGGTCGTGTGGAATCGATCTTCACGCTCGATGACTTCGTGAAGCGAACAAGAGCGTGTTCGTCCCTGAAATAGTAGTTCACTAGAACAACAGTGACATGCAGTGTCCTAGTAGGCCCCTTGGGTACTGAACTACAGAAACCAACGCGAAATGTTTTATCGACATACGGATTTGAGAACCGACAATGCAACGACGGGTAAATACAACCTATGCAATGCGCAAAGATGGAAGGAAATAAAGTCATGTCGCCGACTTGAGACCGAACTTGGGATGGTCCTTGCAGTGGGGAACCACCGCGGACGTGCGAGGACCGAATATACGGCGCTGACAGCAGGCGACGTTGTTTCGAGGGTCACGGAGAGGTCGCTCGCCGAGATGATCTGGAGAGTTGCAGCTCGCTCCAAACGTAATGCAAGATCCGAGTTGTCGGCCGATTTTGGAGAGGGATTGGTGATCTACTGATCGACGGGGCCGGCTCATCTTCAAGAGGATCCTGATCCCAGAGCTGCAAGATGGAAACGAAAGTTTTTGATAAGTGACCCAGGTTGTCAGACTTTAGAAATCTGCTCTAGTCTCACGAAACCACGCACCATTATCGGCTTGTGGCCATCGTGTAAGCCTAATTGGCTTGGTAAGATTGGCTGACTGAGGGGAATCTTCGTTGTTTAGCGCGTAGGGTTGACACGCCAAGAAGGGGGCCCTTGGAAGCACCCACGCATCGTCGCAATGCCGGTTCGCGGCGAAGGGGTAAAAGCTGGAGACGTTTAAGCGATCCGCCGAAGAATGTTCGTCATGCAGGCAGGCTGTGGCCTCGCGGAGTGCGAACAGATTGCGCTCTGACACCCTTGACTTGACGTCGGAGGTGAAGAAGGGCCGTGAGGGTCTAATTGACGAACGCCGACTGGCACGACGGCAAGGAAACTGATGACATGGAAGCTCTGTCGGTGTGTTTTAGGTTTTGTCAGTTTAGCGCGAACATCAATCAGGATGGGGGCCGCCAGTGTTGGAGATTGAGTCGCTAAAAGGCGGGCTTGAATGCGAGTGGGAATGGGGGCCGAGCCCGCCCTTACTCGAAGGGGGAACTGTTGGTCAGTGAAGCAGGGAGAAGGTCGTGTTCCGCAAATGTACAGATTGTAAGCAAGGCCGTTGGAATGTCATTGGAACTGACTGGCGATCACGCGGGGAGGTGCAGTTTGTGGTGGTGTGGTGGATTGGTGATGGTAGTGGTGGTGGCCGGGACACCTTCTCCCGTCAAACTCCTTGCCTGCTTGTACACTAAGCCATCGACGCCCGTACGATGGCGGTGTGTTGCAGCGTCTGTTGTAGTGCAAAGTCTCTGGATATCCAATGGTTCTTGAGCGAAGCGATTGGTAGAGCGCGAGACCTCCATTACTGAGCCAAGTCGTCAGTAACGCGTCGGCCTCGACTCCGCCGTCAAAAGGGGTGGTGGTGTCACAGACCTGCAGGTCCAACGACGGACAATTAACCACCCTCGTTAATAAGACGTCGGCATTTGGGGGCCAAGCAGATCTCTAAGATGAGAGTGTGCCTCACTGCCTGGTCTCATGTTTGAGTCTTTAGAAAGAAACGGCAGTGAGTGTTACTGTTGCGGTGATCTGTCGCATTGCTCGAGTGGAATATGAGGGTCCTGGGTGCCTGGGGCTCCTGGAATCATGATTCTAACATGAACATCTTTTCCAAAGAAGGTCGCAAACACCATAGATAACTTGGTAGCGAGGGGTATGGGCTGTCAATGTCATAGTGAGGCCTCGTGGTGCTCGCCGGTCCCTCGCATAGCAGACCCGCGAGGCCTAGACACACAGACTATGTTCCATCCCGTCGTCCTGTAATCCCACGATGGACACTCGCTCCGCTCCCAGACCGTCAGGTGTGGTAGCCTGGGACTCGGGAGGGGAGAGGTTTTAGTGATGTTGACCACTGGCAGGAGGGTGTTGAGAGGGCGAATAAGCGACGGGGACGAGGTGGCGGAAAAGGTGGCGCAATCCAGCGTTTGGCACGGGCCTCTGGATGCTAAATGTTGGTGTCTGCATCAATTCAGGGGAAGTCCATGGGTATCTGCATGTGCTTTCAAGTGGGCGCAAATGAGTGGGCGTGTTCGCAGCCGGAGAATGGACGCGATTGGATCGAGGGCGGCCGAGGTAGCGGATGCATGGGCGGGAAGAAAGGCAAATGTCAAGCTCGCGACAATAATAGCCACGATAAGACGATTTGACGAATGGGATATGCCATGTTCGTTGTGGAAGGGAAGCTGGCGGATTACGGGATTGTCGTCTTTGTAATGGCGAGAGTTGCAATCGCATTTGGTTCTGACGTTGAAATGTGTGTACGCTGGTGGTCTAGTTGATCCACCATCCAGCTTTTGCTGGTCACTGCTCATTCTGGTCTAGGATGGACAGACAGCATTCTTCTCGGAACGCGGAGGTGTCAAAGTATCCGCATCGTGAGGTGGGATTGTCATCAAGGGACGGACCCGAGAAGGACGAATTGGCAGAGACCTGGGCGGTATTCGTGGATGTTCGTTTTGACAGACAAACATTGTCGGTCCCGCAGTATGTACGTTGAAGTGGTATCGGTAATGAGCATCCGCCATGAGCAATGCCAGCCAGCCAGCGATGTATCCCGTAGGACTGTTAAGGACGCTGTGCCGCGTCTTGCCACCACCTATTGACGGTTGATTAAGCCACCAGCCCCTGGCGACGGCTTCACGAAGGCCGACGGTGGTGTCTGGGATCCCCTTGGGAATGGCTTCTCCTTTGGGACAAGAGCAATGGTGGGATGGATGCATTTTGCTTTACCCCTGCAGCCTTGTCTCCTCTTGTCCCTTTTTTCTGGACACTTCTGGTCTTTGTGGTGGAAGAAGGTAAGGAAGGATTGGAGGGGACAGTGCAGGGTGATGCCCGTCAGAAAAGGAGGCTAGTCAAAGGCGGCAAGCCTGCCGTCGGTCGCGGTGTCAAGGTGTCCGGCGCTTGTAGTGTCTCGTGTCTCGCAGGCCGGCCGCGTTTTGGGGTGCCACGACGATGGCGTCCAGATCCTACACTGCCGTGGCGTGGGCTCCCAGTCTGAGGGTCAATGGCGGCAGGTTCACGTCGATGATGGTTGTGGCAGATTGTTTCTCTTGCAAAAGTAAGTAGTGGCTCGGTTTCCATCATCCATGGCGCGAAGCCAAAGAGAAGCCGAAGCGAAGCGGTAGCCTTTGAAAGAGCCCAATGTCGTTCCGGAAATGAGGATGGCAATGATTGGTGGGACTGAGAGCAGTAGGAGAGAGAGAACAAGAACGTGCTCTGCAGAGAGAGAGAGATTTAGATGAAGCGGCTTTATCTTTGTTCTTCGCAGGCGGTCAAGATGGAGAAGGTGAGTATACTTGATCAAAAGTATCGGTAAGCCGGGAAGACAGAGGGTCAGACTACGCAGTAGACAGTAAAAAAAGAGTGACAGAGTATCCGTAAGGTATGGAGAAAAAGGCAATAAAACAATGCTACCAAAAACAAAAGAAGAAAGGAGGGGTTCACTGCCAACTGGGGGTAAAAGGAAAATGCGACAAGCAGTGAAAAGGAGAAAGAAACCCTGCAGTTGCAGCGGACCTGGACTCTTTACTAATTCGGGCCAGTTTGGGTGTGTGCTTTCCTCATGTTCCCCAACAGCAGCCAAGGGCAACGGCGAGAAATGACATGGAAAGGTGCGTCCTGCTGAGTCCTGGCCACATGTCGCAAGGCCCGTGACATTCTGCAACTTTCCACGTTTCTGTGGGTTTCTACCTTACCTTGAGGTAAATAGGTGCCTCGTCTTGCGAGGAAGCTTCATGCGTTGGCTCTTTCCTTGCTTCTCACAGATGCGAATATACGTACTTTTGATGTGGTGGATGAGGCAAGTGCAGCTCGAAATTTAGGATAGTGGAGGAAAGAAGGCACTGGTGGGCGTGACAGGTGTGGAGGAACATGGGATGCCCTTTAAAAAAATAAAAATAAAAACCTGGACGGAAAGACTATTCGTCTGGTGTTTCCTCTGGTATTTCTGGATCTCTTGGATCTTTCTTCAACTTGGTTCGTCATCCATACAGGGCATCGAGTAAGCTAAGGTGCCTAAGTACCTTAATACTTGCCCGTAAATATATCGACTAAGGGAAAGTCGGACGGATATTGATGCCGATGACGATTGCAGCCATCAATATCATCATCATCATCGTCGTCGTCGTCGTCCTTATTCAGCATCGGATATGATGATGTGGAATATTGGCGTCCGTGCACCCTATTGCTCTTTCCCTTGCATATTGATATTGTTGTTGTTATCGTCTCGTCTGGTGTTTCTCTTGCCTGGGCCCGACTTTTTGTTGACAGGGACAGGGACACTCCGCAACACCGACC